AATTAGTAGAAGTTGTTGGAGAAGCGTCCTAGTTAGCGGAAGTAGCTCGAGAAGCTTCCTATTCAGTAGTATATATAGGAGTCGAGGCTGAAGGATTCTTCAGTCTCGACAACACATCTCTTGGAGTTCTAGCTCACCTTTCTGGTGTTGTTCTTGTACTCATCTGTTTAATCTAGTTCTGCCACTTCTTCTTGAACTTCTTGTTAGATTTCAAGTTTGTATTTTGTGTCCGTGACAGTTTGTCGAGACTACATTTTCACTAGTATCAGAGCTAGTTCCTTCTTGTTAGAGAGTGGATTACCCCTCTTCTTGAAGGTGTGCTAGTGTTTTAGAGGTTGCGGATTACCCTCCTCTAAACTGATATCTCTTCTTTCTCAATATTGGAGCCTTATTCTTCTTGGAGAGAGTGGCTTACCCCTCATCTTGCAGTCTTAAGGCATTTTAGAGGTTGCGGAGTACTCTCCTCTGAACCAATATTGTCCTCTTGTCAAAACTCTTTTTTCTTCTTTCTGAAGGTTAGCCGAAGGTTAAGACGTTAAAATGGCTGAAAGTTTGGAATCCAAACTAGACGCCATCATAAATGCTCTTGCCTCGTTGTCACATAGGACAACAGAGATCGAAGGAGTCATGGTAGGACTCCATAACAATGGAGCATCTGGGATAGCGCCATCTAAAGCATATCAGCCTCAAACTTCTCCGCCAAAAGAAGCAATTCTACCTCCATTTCAACAAGATCGAGTAGTCCTACAACGAAAGGAGCCTCGAGTTAGTCTTCCGGATAAGTTTGATGGAACTCGTTCCAAGTTTCGAGGTTTTGTCAACCAAATCAGGTTGATAACAATTTTACAGCCCGAACGTTATCCGACGGAGGAAGCGCGTGTTGGGCTTGTTGGAACCTTGCTTACAGCACAAGCTCTGTCTTGGTTTACTCCCTTGTTCGAGAAGCGATCGCCAATCCTGAGCAACTTTGAAACGTTCTTGGAGGCGTTTGCAGAAGCATTTGGCGAGCATGATAAAGTTCGATGGGCTACAACAAAGATCCGATCGCTACGACAAGGAACACGCTCTACATCAGTCTATGCCTCGGATTTCAGACAATTGGCAAGTGACATTAATTGGGGTGAAGAGGCGTTGGTGAGTCAGTTTTATTGGGGCTTGAAGGATGATGTGAAGGACTTGCTGTTATCTCTTCCTGATCCTCAAATGCTCAACGAAGCTATTAGCGAAGCTATAAAGTGTGACAACCGCCTATTCCAGCGTCGCCAAGACCAACGTCCAAGACACCAAATGACTCGTTACGACGTGACTATGTCTGCAAATAGCTTAAACTCACATTCGGAGGTAACAGACATGCAAATCGACACGGCGCGTGTCCGATCTCTTACTCGAACAGAGAAGAAATGGCGTATGGAGGAAGGGTTATGTTTGTACTGTGGAGAAGAAGGTCACAAGGTTGGAAATTGCCCAAAGAAGCAAAATTGGCACCCTGTCAAGACTAGAAGTGCGATGATTCCGGAAAACGACGACGCCCAGCCACAGTAGGAACTGTGCGGCTGGACAATCTAATATCACGACAACAATCAGGTTCCTCCTTCTCTGTCCAACCTGCCCGTTGTTTTACAATTCCTTTGTTTTTAGGCCTTCAAAAACAAAAAACTTTAGCTTTATTGGATTCGGGGGCATCTACTTGTTTTTTAGATGAAGAGTTTGCTAAACGCCACAAGATCCGTTTAGTACAGAAGTCCAAACCTGTTCACGTAGAGGTGATAGATGGACGACCCTTATTGTCAGGCAACGTTACCCACGAATCAGAACCTATAGAAGTGGTGTTTAAGGACCATAGTAGTCACGTTATTTTTAATATTATTAGAACCCCATCAAGCCCTGTTATCTTTGGTCTTTCTTGGTTAGAAGATCATAATCCGTCCATTGATTGGAGGCTACGAAGGATAACATTTCCTGAAAAAAATAATAATAAACTTGTTGGTAGAACCTACATGAAGAAATCCATGTTTATTGGAGCGAGAGCGTTCCTAAGATCGTCCAAGGAAGGCGCACCATTTGTCATTTATGCAGCTCCAACTAGCGGCAAGAATATCTCAACATCGAATATACGAGAGCAATATAGGGATTTTGAAGACGTGTTTCAGAAGAAGAACGCCGATATACTGCCGGAACATCGACCATATGATTGCGCCATAGACTTAGAGGAAGGAGCGCAACCACCTTTTGGTCCAATATACAACCTATCGCAGACGGAGTTGGCAGAATTGCGGAAGTACATCGATGAGAATTTAGCTAAGAATTTTATTCGACATTCAAAGTCGCCAGCTGGAGCACCAATCCTATTCGTGAAGAAAAAGGATGGCTCACTGCGGATATGCGTGGACTACCGAGGACTCAACAAGGTGACCAAGAAAAATCGCTCGTTCAATCTCGCCACGACTTTCCAGCTGCGGGACATTTTGGATTCAACAAGACTTTGGAGCTCATTTCACGAGATTTTTGGTGGCCCCAAATGTGGAAGGATGTGAAGGAATTTGTCCTTTCTTGTGATGTTTGTTCAAGATCCAAGATCCCTCGACATCGTCCGTATGGACTTCTCCAGCCATTGCCTATTCCGCACCGACCATGGTCTTCAGTTTCTATGGACTTCATTACGGACCTACCGCCATCAAATTCATTTGACAGCATCTTTGTTGTGGTGGATCGATTTACAAAGATGGCGCATTTCGTGCCTTGCAAGAAAAAATCGTCAAGTGAAGACACCGCAAGACTCTTTCTTGATAACATATATCGTTATCATGGCCTACCAGATGATATCGTGTCGGATCGAGGTACTCAGTTTGTATCCAAGTTTTGGAGGTCCCTCTTTGAGATATTGAAGGTGGATATTAAGCTCTCTTCGGCTTTTCATCCTCAAACTGACGGTCAAACGGAGCGGGTGAATCAAGTTTTGGAGCAATATTTACGATGCAGCATCAACTATCAACAAGATGATTGGACTGCATATCTACCGCTTGCTGAGTTCGCATACAACAACACTCTTCATGCGTCAACTCAACAAACACCATTCTTCTCCAACTACGGATACCACCCCAAGCTCGATTTATTGAGTTCTTCAGCAAATAACAACCCAGCAGCTGAAGGATTTGTGAAGCAACTATTGGAGCTTCAAGCGACGTTGAAGCTTCAATTGCAATCTGCCCAAGAGAGTTACAAGGCATCTGCAGATAAATATCGAAATGAGGCGCCTACTTTTAAAGTTGGAAGTAAAGTATGGCTTCTTCGACGGAATATCAAGACCAAGCGGCCATGTGACAAATTGGACTATCGGAGATTAGGGCCATTTGTTATCGAGAAGCAGATCAATCCGGTGGCATATCGTCTGGAGTTACCAGCTATTATGAAGGTACATCCAGTCTTTCACGTGTCTTTGTTGGAACCTTATCGAGAGTCAGCTTTTCCCCAAAGAGTACAAAGTCCGCCACCAAGTATCGAAATTGAAAACCATGAGGAATACGAGGTAAAAAAGGTACTAGATTCACGGCGTAATAGGAGAAAATTGGAGTATTTAGTGCATTGGAGTGGATACGACATCAATGAACGAACGTGGGAGCGTGCCGAAAATCTTGCCAATGCACCAAAAAAGGTACAAGAATTTCATCAACGATATCCTCATAAACCTAAGCCGATTCAACGATAGCTTCTTGCTGAAGCTTGCTCATCAAGTAGCATAAAAAGGGGGGAGGACACCTCCAAAACCCATAGTTCGATAGTGTAGAACTTTGTTAGCAACTATAGTTTGCTCTCATCATTTTAGCCTTTGGACATGGATAGTCAAGATACTACACTTGTTATGTCATCTCAAGCGACTAGCTCACGAAGACGACCACGAGATGAAGAACCGCATGCACCACGACGACGTCGGAGGATACCGAGCAACAGATCGCTAGTAATTGTATTTGAGGTCGAGCCTGCCTACGACGGTCAGCCAGAAGGTGTGTTTGGAGGACAGTTTCACAATGAAGACACAGAAGTCCACGCTTGGTCAGAGGTTGAAGGTGTTGGTCACTACCGTTGGCTCCAAGGGCCGATGAATCATTTGCCTCGCGAACAACAATTGGAATTCATAGCGGATGTGATGCGACAGATTTTCATTTTCTTGCGTTGGTATTGACTGATAACAACATTGCTTCTCGGAGACCTCGAAGTTAGAAGAGGAGGTGATGTCATGGACATACATTGGAAGATTCTTTGAATATTCTTCTAGAATATTCTCTAAAGATTCCTTTAGAAGGTTCTAGAAGATTCTTAGAATATTCCCTAAAGATTCTCTTAGAAGGTTCTAGAATATTCTTAGAAGGTTCTAAAATATTCTGATAGATTCTAGAAAGTTGCTCGAGAAGTTTCCTAATTAGTAGAAGTTGTTGGAGAAGCGTCCTAGTTAGCGGAAGTAGCTCGAGAAGCTTCCTATTCAGTAGTATATATAGGAGTCGAGGCTGAAGGATTCTTCAGTCTCGACAACACATCTCTTGGAGTTCTAGCTCACCTTTCTGGTGTTGTTCTTGTACTCATCTGTTTAATCTAGTTCTGCCACTTCTTCTTGAACTTCTTGTTAGATTTCAAGTCTGTATTTTGTGTCCGTGACAGTTTGTCGAGACTACATTTTCACTAGTATCGGAGCTAGTTCCTTCTTGTTAGAGAGTGGATTACCCCTCTTCTTAAACCTGGTCGCTCGTTCGCTCGTTCGCTCGTTCGTTCGCTCGCTCGTTCGCTCGTTCGCTCGCTCGTTCGCTCGTTCGTTCGCTCGTTCGCTCGCTCGTTCGCTCGTTCGCTCGCTCGTTCGCTCGTTCGTTCGCTCGTTCGTTCGCTCGTTCGCTCGCTCGTTCGCTCGTTCGCTCGCTCGTTCGCTCGTTCGTTCGTTCGCTCGTTCGCTTGTTCATTCGTCGGCGTCGGCAGTGTAGGGCGGCGGTGGAGGGAGCGTGGTGCCCGCCCTTCTTCAGTTACACGTCTTCACCTTCATCTCTTTCTGTCACAATTGTCGCCCACAGACCTCAAAACCAACGCAGACTGACCAAACTGACCTCACTCCTTGTCCCTTCTTCTTCTTCTTCTACGCATTATTTTTATTTGTCTCCGCTTCCTGAATACTTGTTGTTCTGCTGGCAACACTTGGATTCGCGGATTCGTGTTTTACATCATGGTGTATTACTTCAAGGCCCGTCCCGAGTGCGGGGACTATGTCATATACATGGGCCTTGACAAGCACGAGAACGAGGACCTTATCAAGTATGGCTTACCGGAGGATATCTGGTGAGTGTTTTTTGTCTTTTTGTATGTTGAGTTTCTTGGCGTTGACGATGATTGCTGTTCGTGGTGTTGTGGACGATGTTTCGTGAATTTAGGGTTTGGCGGTATTTGTGGCGTTGCATGAGGAACTTCTGTTGTGAGTCCTATGTTGGTTTTGCGGGTTTGTATTTTATTTTGCTTTTTTTTTCAGCTTTGTTTGAACTGGAATTTCTTCTCGCTTCGGTGCGTCTGATTATATTAGAGTTGGCAGAGGTTGTTTTGAGTGAGGAGAAAAGATCAGTTGTGTTGATTGAGGGACAGGGTTATAAATTTGCATGGCTAGGATTAGTGTAACTGAGGTACAGAGGATTTGCTTCGGTGATGGCGATGCTTGTGAGTTAGGTTCTGCGTGATCTGCTGATTAAGGTTTAATCATTTTCCTCTAGTTTTTGTCTGTAATCTTTGGCGCTAATTTCCTCTCATGCTCGATGGAAGATAAAGACCGGTCGTTTATGCCGACTTCCATTTACATGCGTCTGGATATTTTGTTGCACGAGTAGGTGTGAAAGGCCTCTGCTGTCTTTGCGCGCCGCATGACACTTTTGTGAGAACAAAGATGTAGTTTGCAGTCTAAGCCGGACTTAATGTATCATACAATTATTTGGAAGCATTCAGCACCTGAGGCATTAAACCTTGTTCTGGTTGATAGGAATTCTCCTCATGTTGACTTCATTACTAAGGGTGTTGTGAGGACTTACACTGCCTCTGCGACAGCATAGTCCGGTTTTTGGATTATCGTCTGCAATGTGGAACCACTTCTGTTCAGGAACCAGGAGAGGGCTTTATTTACTTCATGAATGATGTGGAGTAGATATTCAGTAATTTTTCTTGTTAGTCGTGTCGCGTAGGCAAGAAATTACAATCGTCATAACAATAACGAGGAGCTGCATTGTTGGTGCAGGTTCCATGTAGACAAGTTGTCATCTGCTCACGTGTACCTAAGGATGCACAAATTTCAGACGATGGAGATGATTAGCCCTGAACTTCTAGAGGATTGTGCTCAGCTTGTGAAGGCCAATTCCATCCAAGGTGTGTGCTTGGCATCAGGTTCTAGAGTTTCCTTCCACGTCATCTGAAGGATGAGGTCTTCCTGAGAAGCATTTTATACTCCGCTTGCAGGTCTGCGGATGTTTTCGTTATTTAGAGTTAATGTGCTGGGCAAGTACGTGCTACTTTGTGTAGGTAACAAACTCAACAATTTGGACGTTGTTTACACTCCGTGGTTCAATCTGAGGAAAACTCAAAGCATGGACGTTGGCCAAGTTGGCTTCCACAACCCTAAGCTTGTAAGAGTTTGTGAACCCTTCCCTTCGCTTTGTCATCTTTCTGATACAGGTATATTTTTGATGTCTTCGGGTCCATGGATCTCCAACTGGACTGAGTTGGTACTGTAACGGCAGGTGCGGACAGTCAGGGTTGAGACACGTAAGAATGAAATTGTAAATCGGTTGAACAAGACCAAAACCGAGCAGACTCCAGACTTGAAAGGTGCAATTTTCCCTGTATTCTTGATCGATTCACAGCATCTTGTTCCGTAAGCTATCATGTTTTGTGCAAATCCAAATGCCTTCTTTGATGTTATGCATTGACATGCTCGATGACTCTGCTGGATGCAGCTGAAAGGGAAGCCTACAACGCTGCCGAGAGAAATGAACGGAAGGCACATATGAAGGAGAAGGTATTATCCTTATGTCTTTGGATATCTTCACATTTCTGTCGAGTTTGCATCGCTCTTGGTTCTTGTTGGATGTGATGATGAGTCGTATCTGAACGCCAACAAGTTCACATGTGCACCGTTTCTACTTGTTCATACCCTTGAACATTTAACTTAGATGAAGCTATTGATTCATTTGGAGAAGAGTTGGTTATTGTAGGTATGAAGATCTTAGATACAATCAGTGTAAAGATTTACTTTTTGTGCTTTCATCCGTCTGTTCAATGTATAGTTCTGAGCACTGGGGGTCTGAATACTCAGAGTAATGAGAGCAGATGATAGTTACTTACAGAGTTGGTCATTTTGAATCCAAATGCAGAAACGGCGAGAAGAAATAGAACGGCTGGAAAAGGAGAAGCAGGCAGAAATACGGAGCTACACAAGGCTCATGGTTCAGGAGAAGATGACATCCAACAAGGATATCGCCGCCAAGGGAAAAACCCTGGCGGAGTTGGAAGAGGACTTTATGTGACATCTTTTCATTGTTTAATGTAGTTGATACTATTGTCATGGTGCAGCTTGTTCTGTTTCAATTTCAAATGGCATGTTGTTCCTTTTTTTGATGGATGTGATGCAGTCTGCTCGCAAGCCTATTACGTCTCAGTTTCCTGAAGGTTCGAATCGTCTATTTTCATTCAGGTATACTATTTCATTACTTTCTCTCGTTATTTTTTTATTATTTGATGGATGTCCATAATCTTCACGCATCGCTTGTTGTGATTTCTCTAGTATGTGATAATTATATTTCTAGTCTTGATCTCTGCGTTTGTCATTAGGTTTTGGGCGTGCTTGAGAACTTATGACGTGACATTATTTCCGGCGATATTTTGGGTCTTTCCCAAAATGTTGAAATTGCAGCGGCCCAGACGTGCTTCTTCAATGTCTGGTCCATCTTATGTCACCATGTGTGAAACGTGAGGATTGTCGCATGTTTGAATAGAGTGCAGTGTATTAACATGTTTGGCTGGCGTTTGGGTCCCCATCTCTAACCGGAGCTTCTCTTTGTGTGTAGATTGTCACGGGGACAAATTAGTACGCTAGGCGTTTGACTTTCACACGCGCATTGATGATGCAATTGTGAAGTTTGACAGCATTCTCCCTGTAGGCTACGACACCCAATTTTGATCAAGTTCAGTTGCCCTTAGAATTAAATTAATGATGTCCTTGGAGTCTCATCAACATTTAGACTCCAGAGTCCAAAGAGAGAGTACACTAGAGTCTTTTTTAGGCTTTTTGTTGACAATGACGTGACTAAATCTGAATCGAATATAATTTTCTGTTCAAAATTCATTGTGATGTTTCAAGGGCATGACCAGTCGAACTTGCATTCTAGTGGTTTGGTTTCCTTGTCCACATTCTCCCTATGTGGTGCTGCGCCTTTTGAGATTACTCATATGCTGACGGCAGGGCAGCATTGTATCGTTTATGAATAATAGAGGGTAACTGATTTCAATGAAGTCTTTATTAAAAACCTTGCATGTCAAGTTTTAACGAGCAATGGGCTTCATCATTTTGCATAGCTTTTAAATAAACATCCTGTTGCACCACGTTGTTCAAGTTAATTCCATACAATGATGACAAGAACCAACTATTATTTTAATAAGTGAAAAGAACTGTACTGAATATGTCATAATATCTGGGGGATGGACAGTACCTGCACATTGCGTAGACTCAAAGCGGCTGTATTTCCAGTTCTCAAGTGTCGATCATTTTTATGTCAGAATATGTCTTCCTCTTCCTCCTCCTCCGCCGGGTCCATCTTAGACTTGGTCATCGTCGTCGTTTTGCTCGTCCTCCTGCTCTGGGCCCGCACCAGATTCCTTCATCGTCGTCGTCGTCGTGGATGCTCTGCAGTCGGCACTCCTCCACCCCCTATTGCTCTTCTCGTCTCGTCCGCCACCGTCCCTAGCTTCTGCTTCCCTCTTGCGTAGTTCATCAAGGGACCTATCTGTCGGGAGCGGTTGAATCCTCCAAAGGCGATGGAGTGTAAACCCTAGTACATCGTCGTCACTGTTTATTTTATTTTATTTACTATGAAATGTGGTTTGGCCGGTATGGGTGCGCCGGTGGAGCTGGTTTGGGGCGAAGTCGAGTGGGGAATTACATCGGGTTGGGGGAACGCATGAAGTCACAGGGCGATCAAGGCGGATAGGTGGATCAGCAGAATGTGCATGTGAGTGGAGTGCAGAATTGTAGTTGACGATCGCTTGCTGTGTGGTGGCTGGTAGCGAGGGTGTGAAATTGAAATTCGACGTGTGAAATTCTAGTGGTGGTAGGAAGTGAAGGGTAAGTTTGGGGTGTGAACGCACTTGATTGGCGTGCGGTTTCGTGGCATGGCATGAGGAAATTGAATCGAGTGCATGGGGATTTCTACACCGGGATTTTGTTCTGTAGCTCCGTGTGAAAGGTCTGCCACTTTCAGTCCGGATCGTTTCAGGTGTGGTAAAGAGGGCGGGGGGTGCTATGTGTGTGAGGGCTCGAAAATCAGCACGATTCTGGTAGACATGAGTGTGATATGTTGATACATAAGTGTTTCATCCGAGTGCTGATCTGTGCATAGGAGATACAGTCATCTGTTGCTTGCCGTAGTTAGGGTTAGCTTAAGTGTACTAAATCTGTGAAGAGTTTTGATGCGTTGCAGATGTTTGTGGGATTGTAGAACTATGAGGATGCTAAGAAGTTTTGCAACAAGAAATTGGGACATTTTACATGATATATGATGGAAGAATATAGTTTTTTAAGAATTTTTGTGGAAAAAAATAGTTTGTTGTATTGGTATCGTATGGATTGTTGAAGGAGATAAATACTTGATTTTGGCATATAACATGTTATAGTAGAATATTTTGTTTGCTAATATATTATTTTTTGTGGTTGTAATGGATATTAGGTTTATTATTATAATTTATCTAATTCATGTATTGGATTTTGTGGTATTACAAATGATTATTAAAATTTTGGAATAATGTAAGAAGCTTTCACCAATAGGTATACTATAATTTTTTTTAATATGAATTTATTAGTATGTTGAAGTTTTTATTGAAGTGATTTTATATCTAATATGTTAATTTTGCACTTATTATAATTAATTGTTTTACAATGAAAATTGTGATGGATTTGATGATTTTAAAAGAATGAGTATTATCATTATAAAACTTGTATATAAAGAAAAAAATAAGTTTATTGGATTATTATATGTAGAGTTTTGATTTGATTTTGGTTTGTGTAATATTATGTTGTGATAATTTTTGGCTAATATTATTCTTTTGTGATTGTATTAGGTATTAGGTTTGTAAAAATAATCTTAAAGACCATGGATTCATGTTAGTTATTTGAATATATGTGATTATATGATTGATTTTCGACTTTAGAGATAATACATAATATAAGAAATAGACATTGTAATAATTAGTTAAAAAAAAACCTAGTAGAACAAGATTGTAAAGACTATTTTGTGAGTGCTTTGAAGAATGCAATTCTTGTAAATTATGATTGAAGTCTTGAATCATTCTTAAAAATGTTGAAAGTAAATAATTCTTATTATTCCAAATGTCATAAAAGAAGATTTTGGTTATATTTATTAAAATTTATAGTTATGAACAATAAAGATATAAAGTAAAGCTAATGTGTTGTGTTGGTTGTGTACTTGTAGAAAAGAATTTGGATAATTTTATTTGCCACTATATTACAATATGACAAATCTTTGGAAATTATTTATCCAATGTTTATTAATGGTTTGGAGGTTTTTAGAGGGTTTTCAAAAACAAGTATTTTTAAGATTTTTGAACCAATGTGATAGTCATGTTCAGCAGATTGATACTTTTATAAAGATGCAAGAGATTAATAGATACATTTGGAGGCAATGTGAAATTTATGTTAGAGAGATGAAGAATTTATTGAAGAAAAAAGATATATTAAATAGAAATCAATGTATAAGTATTTATAAGAAACTTCATCTGATTATGAATACATTTCAATATCTAATAATTCATAGCAACAACAGTTTGGAGTGTGGACTTATATTTTGTGAGTTATTTATTTTAATGAAGAAAATTGGCTTATTGGTAAAGAATTGTGGAGAAAATAATTGATACCAATTAGCTAACTTCCAAATGAAGAATAAAGAGACTTTTTGAGAATTACTTGGGGATTTGAAGTGTTGCTACGATGTAGTAAGTCATATACTTTTGAAGCAAAATCCAAAGGAATTTGAAGGCTTCTCATGTATTATCTTTGATGTTGCTACCTTTGATGAAGTAGAAGGTGATGATAAAAGCTTATGTGACAAGTTGAATTATGCAATTAAAGATAATAACTTTGAACACTTTGGATCAGCAAATTATTTATTGCAAAGATTGAAGAATTTATGTTGCATAGAAGATAGAGAATTGAATACAATAGAACTTTCAATGGATATAAAATCTTTGCAAATCATATAATGCATAAATGAAGGAAAATTTTGAAAAATTTTATAAATCTAAGTGGTAGGGAATTTGTATGCAACTAAAAAGTTGGATGTTTCTTTTATCAAAGAAGTAACCATTCTAGCCAGTCTAAGCCGCCTAAACATAATCAAATATTTCTTTGTTATAAATTCTAAAAATAATAAAAGTAGACAAATACTTAAAGAACATGATACAGATAGAGAATTATATTTGGATGTAGAATTGATACAAACAAGATTAGGTCATATGTTAAAAGAGAAAAAATCAATGTCATTTATATTTATTATTGATATTATTTATCAAATTACAAAAGACATGTATTATTTGCATGATATGCAAATTATAAATTGCGATTTAAAACTTGATAATATATTAGTCAATATTATCAAAGATAAAATATTAAACAATCTTACTCAACATGCTACAATAAAATTAATAGGTTTTGGTATGTCTAAGGTGAATGTTGGAAGACATCCAAAAGTTAGTAAAAATAGATATGCCTATGGTAGTATACAATATATGGCTCCAAAGGCATTAAGAAATAAATTTGAAAGAACAAAGATGTGTCTTTTTGAAACACATGGTTTCTCATTTCTAATGGTGTATTTTAAGTTTCTTTCAAAAAAATATCCATTTGATGGTATTAGTTCTATAAAAGAAATATTAAAAAAAATACAAAAAGATGAAAGAACAAAACTTCCTTCAAATTGTGATGAATTAAACAAACTCATCAAAGAGTATTGGAATTGGAATTCTTTACATCATCCAAACTTTCAAATATTTGTGAAAGACTTATCATATTTCAAAAAAGATTCTAATTGGGCAATGTTTAATTAAACTACTATCTTTTGGTGGAACTTGGAACAACATGAATCAAAATATACATCCAAAAGAAACCTAATATAGATCACAAATGGTAAAGCTCCTTCAAATACTCATACAAAATAATTATATAATTAATTTTATTATTTTCATGTTATTTGTATACAAATTAAATATTCCATAATTATTACTATTTATTAGAATATATCTAGTTGTTTGCTTTAAATTAAAATAGAATAAAATCTACATAATTTTGAAGCTATTTAGTTTTATATTTTAATTTATATACAAGTTGACATGTCTAAAGAAAATTTATTAGGAAGAAAACAATGCTTATTCTAAATAAGACAATTATGCTTGAAAAATATAAAGGTAATATTTCTTGGCATGCGTAGAATAGGCAAGACTACAATAATAAAGGCCACATTCAATAATGTGAAGCAAATGTATGATGCTTCATGCTTTGTTGAAATTTCTCAAAATAGTAGTAATAACTATTCAATCTCTTGCAACATATTAAAACAATTCAAAGTTGAAAAAGAAGAAAAAAAAAAAAAAAAAAAAAAAAAAAAAAATGAAGCATAAGAAATATTGAAATCATTCTTCATTAAAAACAAGATCATCTTGATTTTTGATGATATAAAGAACCAAAGCCAAATTGAAGTTATGCCTATGGATTTTTTCTGTACTAATAATGGTAGCACATTGATTGTAACAACTAGAGATTAGAAATGAATGGAATAATATTCTATAATGATTTATAAAATAAAAATAAAAGAACTTAATGAAGATTTGAGTTTAAAATTATTCAATACTTATTCATGAGAACATGAAGAAAAATTAGATAGTGAATTTTTTGACATGGGCAAAAAAATTGTAAAATCTTGTAATGGCTGGCTTTGAATTTAAAAGTCATGGAGGTAATTTTAAGGAGATAAAATAGGTAAAGATATTGGAAGCAAGTTTTAAAAAGGTTAAAAAGGGAAAGAGATTTGAATGGAGTTGAAAATGATAGTAACAATAAAATTTAAAACATCTTTAAAATAAGCTTTGATAATTTAAAAGATGATGAAAAAAACATATTTTTGGATATTGGTTTTTTTTTTTTTTTTTTTTTTTTTTTTTTTTAATGGTGTATATCTACAAGATATGTTAAAAAAAATATACTACAAATATGTGCTAAAAACAAAGAT